AATGATATGTTTGCTGTTAATGAGAGGGAGGGGCTATAAGGTCACGTGTTTCCTCTCATGAATATGTGAAATATATTTCACCTGCCCTTTTTGTAACACGAGTTTAAATACCCGATGATTTGAGCAACCCAACACTTTCTGTATACTAATTATAATTGTTTCGTTTATCAACGGATGCGTAGGATACATCATCCAGTTTTTTAACTAAAAAAAATTAAACACTTAAAAAAAAAAGAAATAGCGTCACATGGATGTTGAGATTTGAACAAAATACTGACGACAAAAAGAAGCTAAAAGAACACGGGGGAAATTCTATGAAAATTAATTGCTGGGTTCTCATGAGAGCATGGAATTCTTTTTTTTTCAGTTGGTAGGGGGAATGGGGGCGGGGAACGTTTGTCGGTTACAGCATAGAGATTAATTTGTTTTTCCCACGTTTTCTTTAACTTGCTTTCTCTGTTTGTGTGTTTGTCTTTCCAATCAAATCTTGCGATCGAAATTTCTGGCACTTCCCAGTTAGCTAGCGCGCTGAAATTTTCAGGGAAGCTTTCTTTTGGATGACCATTGAATATTCAATTGTTATTATTACTAAATTGATCAATGGAAACATTTTATTGAGCATTTTAGACCGCTATATAATCTATATATATAATTCTCCTCTGCTAGCCATTAGAAAATAATAATCATTAAAAAAGTTTTAAAAAACCCACGTTTTCTGATTGAACTAAAAAGTAGAAAATAAATGCTATAGGCCCTACATCACAATAATGCAAGCGATCACTCTACTATAAGCGATCAAAAACGTGGGGCGTCGAAGTAAAAGTTATATTACTATTGATTAGATAATACTATTGACTTTTATTAGGGAGCTTGTAGAGAGTCAACAGTATTAGAAACTGTAAGAAAATCACGGCGCCCCACGTTTTTGCTTGCTTATAGTAGAGTGATCGCTTGCATTATTGTGATGTAGGGCCTATAGCATTTATTTTCTACTTTTTAGTTCAATCAGAAAACGTGGGTTTTTTAAAACTTTTTTAATGATTATTATTTTCTACTTTTTAGTCTTTGTCTGTTTGTTTGCATTAAAATCTTGCTATCGATTTTATCTTTTCACTTTTTTTGGGTAAACGAAGACAACTCGTAAAAAGACAACTCGTAAAAAGACAACTCGTAAAAAACACGTTGTTTGAATACGTTACTGACTAGAACACATAGATTTGAACCCGTGTCGAGTGGGATAGCAATCGTGTGCCCAACCACTCGACCATATCGTCTCCCCCAAACTGGCCTACCTTCTGTAAGTTTAAACTCGGTTCAAGCTAAATTCTCTGCCCCTAAGCCTGTGGCGACATGTGATCGTTCGCTTCACTGCGCGCGAGGTACGCGTCGCTGGTTTTTTTTCTAATGGCTAGCAGAGGAGGATTATATATATAGATTATATAGCGGTCTAAAATGCTCAATAAAATGTTTCCATTGATCAATTTAGTAATAATAACAATTGAATATTCAATGGTCATCCAAAAGAAAGCTTCCCTGAAAATTTCAGCGCGCTAGCTAACTGGGAAGTGCCAGAAATTTCGATCGCAAGATTTGATTGGAAAAAACCAGCGACGCGTACCTCGCGCGCAGTGAAGCGAACGATCACATGTCGCCACAGGCTTAGGGGCAGAGAATTTAGCTTGAACCGAGTTTAAACTTACAGGAGCGACGCGTACCTCGCGCGCAGTGAAGCGAACGATCCCACTTCGCCACAGGCTTAGGGACAGATAATTTAGTTTGAACCGAGTTTAAACTTACACGAGGTAGGCCAGTTTGGGGGAGACGATATGGTCGAGTGGTTGGGCACACGATTGCTATCCCACTCGACACGGGTTCAAATCTATGTGTTCTAGTCAGTAACGTATTCACACAACGTGTTTTTTACGAGTTGTCTTTTTACGAGTTGTCTTTTTACGAGTTGTCTTTTTACGAGTTGTCTTCGTTTACCCAAAAAAAGTGAAAAGATAAAATCGATAGCAAGATTTTAATGCAAACAAACAAAGACTAAAAAGTAGAAAATAATAATCATTAAAAAAGTTTTAAAAAACCCACGTTTTCTGATTGAACTAAAAAGTAGAAAATAAACGCTATACATCACAATAATGCAAGCGATCACTCTACTATAAGCGATCAAAAACGTGGGGCGCCGTGATTTTCTTACAGTTTCTAAAACTGTTGACTCTCTACAAGCTCCCTAATAAAAGTCAATAGTATTATCTAATCAATAGTAATATAACTTTTACTTCGGCGCCCCACGTTTTTCATCGCTTATAGTAGAGTGATCGCTTGCATTATTGTGATGTATAGCGTTTATTTTCTACTTTTTAGTTCAATCAGAAAACGTGGGTTTTTTAAAACTTTTTTAATGATTATTATTTATGTAACAAATAGATGTCTTTCATAGCTTGTACAAGGAAGATATTACAGTTTTTTAGTATTACACTGTTTATTCTTTTATTAAGTTCGCTATTTGGTGTATAGTGGGTGAAAAGGGGTACCCTGGAATATGCTGCCAACGTATGACGCATCGAGTAATTTTAAGAACACAGTGTTTAAAATTGATGGGTACAAGTTTGCTATTTTACTTTTGCTTTATTTAAGGCTCGCTTTTGTTTGTTGTGTGTGTGTGTGTGTGTGTGTTGGGGGTGTGTGTAAACAGGGGTGTAGTAAAATCTTAGAACTGAAATGAAACCAATATCTAATGAAACAGTTTTTCTTTTCAATTCTAGCACGTAAATACATTTCTGGTATCCACGCAATAATATATCATTTGCAAACTAATCGGTTCTGAAGTTAGCCATTTCAATTTAAAATAAAAGGGAGATTTAAAAAAAGGTAGTAGCGATATCTTAATCGGGTGAGATGATGCACACTAATTGTGTTTATCTCCTGATGCTAATATGGGCTGATCGTACTTATGTATTATTTTTATGATGGAAACTTAGCAACATAATGCATATCTAATTACTGATTTAAAAGGAATATATTTGAATACGAGGTAGTATCGAGTTAAAAAGAATATTAACTGGTTATGAAAAATAAGTATTTTAGTAGTTGTTTTTCTATGTATTTTTCCTTTCTTATTTTACCTACCTTTAAAAGCTTTTTGCACACGTTGTGCTGTTCTTCGTATGATTCAAAGTTTCATTTAAGTTTCGCTATTTTTCGTTAACTTCTTTTCCAAATTTTAAAGTTTACATCTAAAACGTACAATCCAAAAGTTTATTTATTTCCCCGCGTAGAAAAAGTGTCGTCTCCTATATTTAAGCTTTTTAAACACATGTATCGTGTTACTTTATATTTTTTATACAATCTCATCTTCAAAGAACTTCGAGGTAAGGGGGCGACACTTTTCACGTCACCATTGAATGATACGGTGGGGTAGAGCGTGACTAGTGTTACGTCACACCCCGGATTTTACATGACCGCTGCATCGGGATTAATCCTTGGGGAGCGAGAAACACCCCTCCCACCCCTTTGAGGTAGCCCCCCCCCCCCCCCCAGTAAGAAACCCTCCCCCAACGTTCCATTGACGTGGTCCTTAGGGCTACACCTTGTCAAGCTACCGACTCGCCGTTTTTGAAACATGCTCGGATTTCGTGAGCTCATGCGTGGCCGAACAATAGCCAGGTACCCGCCTTGTGACCCCATCACGTGACGCCCGTGAATGAGCTCGTCCACCAACTGACCCACCTGGCCCTTTGATGTGGCCACTGGCCAGTGTGATGGCCCGGCCCGGCGGTACCCCAACTTTACAGGACCCCTGAAGCGGACGTTGACAAATTTATTGGCCCCATCAAGTGCCGTGTGCAGATAGTTAGCCGGTAAACTAATCCCCACTGACCACCACTCCTAGGGGTTTTCTACAGATGGTTACTTTAATTTCCGATGACTTTGGAAACAGTATACTCCTTAGTTTATTTCGACTTCAGTGATTAGCTAAATTATTCTTTTTAGGCGCTGTTTTTTCTGTTTCTGCGTGTGGGATTTCCCGGTACAGTGGAAGAAAATGTAAAAGGTGAACGAACAAATTTTTGCACCAGCGAATAATTCCTGTGGGATTTATCACAGGCACTACTGTAGCTACATGTCTTTACTATCAACTGATTCGGGTTGGCGGATTTGACGTAATATTGAAGTACTATTGACGTAATATTGACGTAATATTGACGTAATATGAACCGACAGTGGACTCAATGAAGAAGAAGAAGTTATAGAAATAGGAGAGTTATGTTGTGGGGGATGATGAATCAGTGATAATTAGAAACGGGCACAATCAAAACTTTAATGTTTAGATTCAGCGGATTTTTTTAAAACACGGTGTTTTACTGTATTACTGCTTGCATGTAATTGTGTGAGTGTGTGAATATATTATATATGGACGTTTCTGTGTGTGCGTGTGTGTGTGAGCGTGTTTTTTTTAAAAATATGTTTATGTTTTTACGTTTTTGAGTTTGAGTTTACATGTCAGTGTCATAATTGTGTGTACGTGTTTGCAGAGGCGTAGAGCGGGCGGGGCGGGGGGGGGGGTGCGGACCGCACCGGGTGACACCATTTAAGGGGTTGACACCAAGGCAAATAAATAGCAAAATGTACAGAAGAAAAATGCTTTTTTACCAGTTCCATTAATTATTAATTAAAGTTAAATAGTCTTTAAAGTACACCTTTATTACAAGGGGGTGGGAGAGACACACATTTGGGGGGGGGGGGGGGGTGACACCACGAAGTGCCGCACCGGGTGACACCTAACCTAGCGAAGCCAATGCGTGTTTGTATGTTGTTTCAATTATAATAATGCCTTATGAGACAACATGACATATGGAGATTTTCTATTGAAATCAACAGGACGTTTTAATACATGACTATGTTTTTCTCATGACAATATAACATGTCTAGATTTGACCTACATGATAACAAGATATGTCTATGTTATTCTACATATTTGTCTACATATACAGAACATGTCTAAGTTTGTCCTGCATGAAATATTTGCCCTACATAACATGTCTAAGTTTGTCCTGCATGAAATATTTGCCCTGCATGACATGTCTAAGTTTGTCCTGCATGAAATATTTGCCCTCCATAACATGTCTAAGTTTGTACTGCATGAAATATTTGCCCTACATAACATGTCTAAGTTTGTCCTGCATGAAATATTTGCCCTACATGACATGTCTAAGTTTGTCCTGCATGAAATATTTGCCCTACATGACATGTCTAAGTTTGTCCTGCATGAAATATTTGCCCGAAATGACATGTCTAAGTTTGTCCTGCATGAAATATTTGCCCTACATGACATGTCTAAGTTTGTCCTGCATGAAATATTCGCCCTACATGGCATGTCTAAGTTTGTCCTGCTTGAAATATTTGCCCTACATGACATGTCTAAGTTTGTCCTGCATGAAATATTTGCCCTACATGGCATGTCTAAGTTTGTCCTGCATGAAATATTTGCCCTCCATAACATGTCTAAGTTTGTACTGCATGAAATATTTGCCCTACATAACATGTCTAAGTTTGTCCTGCATGAAATATTTGCCCGAAATGAAATGACATGTCTAAGTTTGTCCTGCATGAAATATTTGCCCGAAATGACATGTCTAAGTTTGTCCTGCATGAAATATTTGCCCTACATGACATGTCTAAATTTGTCCTGCATGAAATATTTGCCCTGCATGACATGTCTTAGTTTGTCCTGCATGAAATATTTGCCCTACATGACATGTCTAAGTTTGTCCTGCATGAAATATTTGCCCTACATAACATGTCTAAGTTTGTCCTGCATGAAATATTTGCCCTACATGACATGTCTAAGTTTGTCCTGCATGAAATATTTGCCCTACATGACATGTCTAAGTTTGTCCTGCATGAAATATTTGCCCTACATAACATGTCTAAGTTTGTCCTGCATGAAATATTTGCCCTACATGACATGTCTAAGTTTGTCCTGCATGAAATATTTGCCCTACATGACATGTCTACGTATGTCCTGCATGAAATATCTGCCCTAGAACATGTCTAAGTTAGTCCACTATAACAACAATACCTTCACACCCTGACCACAGATCAAGATTCCAGTCACACCATGCTCCCCGCCTACCAAAACTTGCAACATATTTGTGTGGTTCCACCGCACCTACACAAAATTGATGTACATGAAACAAGGAGACTCTTTTATTTCCTGCTATTGACTGCCAATACCTCCAGACGTTCAACCCCCGCAGATCGAACTGTATTCAAGCTCAACACTACCGCCTGGGGAATAGGGGCGTTCGCTTGATAACGTAGAAAATCTCTCGAGTTGACGTTTTTCTATTGTCCGCTGTCTTGCACAACTAAACGCCATGATATCCAATCTTACATGGAAAAACACTTCTATACATGACAAAATTGAATGTGTTTCTGCTGACGTTGGCTTAAAGCGCATCATATAACAGCAAGATATAAATGATGGGAATGGTTTGTTAAAATAACGATACGAACGACGAACAGAAGTAAGGTGTACGGGCAGGACCAGGAGCTTATGCACAACAAGATGGTGCTGCTTTATCTACCTCCTCGCCGCGAGCGATTAATTCGACAACCCCGCTGGGCGTCTCTTCAAGACGGGGGGAACGATCGCCCCATCCATTCTGTCACGGCTCCCTAGTCGCCTAGCCAAGCATGACAGGAGGCGGCGCAACTCTGTATAGCGACTTAGATTCCAAGTATCATGATCTGGTCAGGCGTGCTACACATTCTTGCACTACTTATCCCGCGAGCTGCCACCGCTCCGGTCCTTGTTTGACAGGACCGTCAGTTGGAGGACGCCGCAAGGAGCCCCGCGCCCTCTACCGCAGAGCCTGAAAGACCGCCGGACACCTGAATCAGGAGGGTGTTAAAAAGCCTCGACACCGGGGTCCACTCTTTTCACGATTCCCTCGTATAATTGCGGTGTTAACATCGAATAAATCCCACCATGTAAAAGTCCGTTTCTACCCGAAGTCGTCGTTCTTTATCCTCCCGAGTCGCACACAAAAGACGATGATGTGTGACTTAAATCTAGCGAGAAATGCCGGCCGTGCATACTTAGCTGCGTATTGAAAAAAATGGAGTTCTGCGCCAAGACTAGTGTATCATTGGAAGGCAATAATTGTAAACTAGAACGAATTTTATTTAGTTCGCACACACGCGGACAAGATTTAATAGACTGGAATATTAATAAAAACAAATATGCATAGAATGTTTTTTTTTTTCCTACTCCATTTTTTTAAATGTGCGGACAGGTTGATCCCGATTCTGAAGCTTGGATTGGAAATGTAGGGGTCAGTGCCTAAGCCATCCCCATGATCCCAGCTATTCAGTCCACCCAGGCGTTGACTTGACAAACTGACTTTGACACTTGATGGGGAAATAGACACCGGTCTACACAAAGCTTCTGGTATCCAAAGCTTAGCGCCGGGGACGCATGTTTTGTACCGTTAACAGCTGAACACCAATACACGACCGGCGGATGTTTCAACAAACTAGCGACCTGTTTCATTCGTCTCACGGGATCAGGTTTACTCTGTTTTACCTGCCATATTATACATTAGGTCTTTACTTAGGCATAAGTGGGGTGCGTGTGTTTTTGAAATATATAGCTGTTCCTGAGTCTTATACCTATAAACTTGTACCTAAGTAATGTCTAATACATAATGTGCCCGCTAACATTTCGTAAGAAGTATTTTTAATTTCATATTACTTTTAAATTTAGGTAGTTTTATTTCAGGTAGCCAAGGAAGTCCGATGTATACTACACCTAGACAATATCCAATGTAAACAGGTACAGATAATGTATCCAGGTAAACAACCTATTTAAAGTATACGTTTGTGTGAAGTCATTTCAATTATGATTACAAGTAAGCTAAGAATAGACACAATGGGAGATATTATTAACTATGGCCGTGGTTCAAGCAGTCAATGACACAATACAAGCTATCAACGTGCAATTTAAACGGACGTTTCAAACTTTCCAGAGTTGAGTGAAATATCCCAGACATCATTTCACGTCTACACCTGATAACTTAGCCTCTAGGTGGTTTTTAATGAGATAACTTTCACGTGACCGTGCATGTTATTTATCTCCCGTGCGGCAGGTCCTCACCTCTTTATTCACCTGTGGGGAGCTCACCTTGTGGTTATCACCACACGTGGTGAGGGGCACATCACGGTATACATATCCCCGTCACCGCCGGGCATTGTTGCTGGTGCTTTATGTGGAACACTTACCCCTACACACTTGTGCTTTGTCGAAAAACTCTTACCCCGATGCCCATACCTCTTTGTGTGAAACTCTTATCCCGATGCCCACACCTCTTTGTGTAAAACTCTTACCGGCACCCCGGCGCCCCTCGCTCTGCTAGATTAAAACAGAACCCCACCAGATAGAAACAGCGCCGGAGGATATTGACACAAGACCGAGCGGCTTCCAGACACTTCAAACAGAACACGGAGCTAAGATTGGGGTCGTCTTCAACGGCCACAAGCCAATTAAACTATTTGTTTATGTTTTTGTTGGCGGATGGTTTCCGTCTTGGAGCGGGGCATTGCCATCTCCCATGACTGTATCAAGACCTCTCGGCTACAGCAGACGACACAATGAGGCCAGGCAGACACCTCACGGGGAAAGCGATACCCGTACCACACGACGGGTACATGCTGGGTTAAAAAATTGAATTTCGAATAGAAAAACAAATTGTCTTCGTCTTTCTTACGCGCACCTGGCCAACAGTAGGTTGACAAAAATGGCGGGTTTCAGCGCGTCGAGTTGCCTGTTAGGTTGAAACTTGTCGGTATATCTAGCTTAACAAGTTATAAGCTATGCAGAAGTAGGTTTATTAAACGGGAATTAAATATGAATATATTATTTATGTAGAACACTCATGTTGAGAAATTTTACCTGTAGGTTTACATAGGTAAATTTCTTTTAAAAATTAAGGCCAAAGTAGATTAACTAGCTTCATTTGATATATGGAAGGGAAATTTCGACACAAACTTTAGATGTTGTGTTAAAAAAGTAACGTCATTTTTTTTTCCCCAAAATTTCAAGTACTCGATTGTGCTAAATTATAAATAGAAATTTTATGCGATGTAGAACAGGTTATACATGTACAGTAAACGCATTTGATAATTATACATCTAGAGCGCTAATTACAAGAAGCAGTAGACTAAAACTCAATTGGGGGCAAAAATCAAAGAAACCTTGAATAGGCAGGTTTGTGAAGTAAGACAGAGCAGTCTTTGTGGCGTCGTAGCCAAGTCGTTGTGAACAGTAGCAGACGATCGGTCTCTGGTTGCAGACGTATATGTTGGGTGTTCCCGGACTGAGTCAAACGCATTTGAATTGAGCTGTCTTCCTTGTTGATATGAATACGACACAAATTATTTCGTAACAAGAAGCAGAATTTAGATCTAGATAGTATAACGGCACATTTCTTAATGGAATGGGGCCTTAGAACGAGGAGATGAACAAGGAAGCAGGACATACATAATAGAATGGCCCATGGTTTCAACTCAGACAGTCGCAGAACGAACAGAGCAGGGCGTAACAGGAAACACGAAACACGACATAGACAGTAGAATAGCTCATGTCTCGAATTAAAATAATCGCAGAACAAAATGATCAGGGCGTAACATAACATAAACAGGAGAATGGCTCATATCTCCAGCTCTAAGAGCCGCAGAGCTAAATGATCAGGGCTTAACATAACATAGACAGAACAATGGCTCATGTCTTCAACTCAAATACCCGTACAAGGAACTGATCACGTTGTAACAGGAAGCAGGGCGTTGTAAAATGGCTCATGTTTTCAAGTCGTATTGCCGTAACACGACGGCAGATACGACGTTTGACGTCAGATACGACGTTTGACCACTCACCTGTCTGACACCTGGCACCGGTCCAGCCAGGAGGAATATGCTAATGTAGAAACTGTAACAGTGTTCTCAAATGCCGGTGTACAATTTTAATAACTGCGCGTGTTTTGTTCAACAAAATCTTCTGATCGTTAATTAACGCAATACTTGTCTACAGGCGCTGTTTCTATCTGGTGGGGTAGGCTCCAGAAAAAAAAAAACCTTCTTAATTAAAAGGTTTTCTTGATTTATTTGTGTATATCTAAGTTAAGGTACTTAAAGTAAAATATTTCCATGCATCGGGGACTCTTTTGAAAATATGGTTGCCATAGCAACGGTGGCCATCTTGAAAAAAAACATAATTTTCTGGAGTTCTAAACTTTCATAAACTAACATATATATCGGCTATATAACCATTGATCCTTCTTGTACTGACGCTAATAGAGTCAGCTGGCTAATTTTTGTAACAGAAAACACTCTAGAAATTTTTTTTTTCAAAATTTGGTATGGTGAAATTCCATTGAAATTAATGCTAAATTCATTGGTATTTCACCATAAATGAACTTTGAAAAATTGAAAAAAAAAAAAGTTTCTAGCTGTTCTTCTGTTACAAAAACTAGCCAGCTGACTATTGGTGTTAGTACAAGAAGGATTGTTGATTATATGGGCGGTTTAAATGTTACTTTATGACATTTTAGAACTCCACAAAAGGTAGTTTTTCCAAGATGGCCGCCGTTGCCATGGCAACCATATTTTCAGAAGAGTCGCTGGTACATGCAAATATTTTCCTCTAAGTACCATAACTTATACATACACAAATAAATAAAAAAGACTTATTAATTAAAAAGTTTTTTTCCCGTTTTTTTCCGGAGCCAAAGTATTTTAAATGTTGAACTGGATTTGGTTAAACTACAGCACAATTCTACACACCCGTGTCAATAATTTTTTCTGTAACCTTTCCTCTATACTCGTAACTCACATCATCGCATTTATAGATGTATCAATGTGATTTTTATCTTTACTACCAACGTGTTGACATTATTTTTGACACCAGCGGAATTATACTAGTAACATTAACGTGGTATTCTCTATCTGTATTCTGTATTCCAGGAACTTTTAAAAAAAAAAGGGGGGGGGGGAGATTCC